CCTCCAAACACTCGGGTGTTCCGTCTTGTGGAGTTTGCCATTATTAAGATGGTCAATAGCCATTATAATCTTGCATAGACTGTTGTCCGGGATATTTTCGGAATAGTGTCGGATAAGTTTCGCTCTTAGGTCGTTACTCGTGTGTGTGTGTGTGGCTTCAACGCTGTGTACGATCCTATGTGTATGATAGTAAATTACAGTTGCAAGTTAATCGATTGCCTCTTCCTATTCTATTTCCGTCGCGTCGAGATTGTTCCAAGCACAAACCAATTACCGGTTCTTATCAGCGATTTCAAGCTTGGTGCCTTGTCATGTCAGACGGCAGGGACAAGAGGTCGTTAGTGAGTTTCTAATATAAAATGAAAATAGGGGTGAATCTGATGGCTAGTTCTTACTATTATATATATTATAAACGAAAGTTTGGATGTATGGATGGATGTTTGTTACTCTTTCACGCAAAAACGACTGAATAGATTATAATGAAACTTTACACTTATATATCAGAATAAGACATAGGCTATAATAATATAATAAGATATTGTCCAAAATATAGGTAATGATAGTAATGATAGGTGTCAATTAAGTAGGAAAAAATTCAGCCATCTGCGAGATATTCTGGTGCATAATAAAAACTGATTGTTAATTCCCTAAGGCCACGCGGGCGAAGCCACGGAACAGCTAGTCAAAGATAAATGCAGACTTGAACAAATCCGCTGATATTATATTCCCTCATATAACGCCTATTTCTTGAATTATCATCTTTTGCTGATTTTAAATAGATAAAGGTGATAATGACGAAATAAAAAATAGAATCTATTTAATTAAATGCCACCATATGATATTATATTGCACAAGAGAGAGGAGCCCTATGTCTATGATAGCGCTAATATGATGATAATATATTGCGTTGATCACTTTTTTTTTAATTCCATGTTGCAAATTAATTTCAGTGATATCAAATTTCATTACCACATTTTATTTAGCTCAACTTGCCTTCTGGTTGCGTTCCTTTAAATCGTTAGCTCGGTTGAAATTAAAAGTCACAGATTTTTATCGTTGATATACTGTTTATATATTCTGTTTCGTTCTACCGTAAAGACTATAAATTTGATATTATCTTAATTAGAAGTACAATTTATATGTTTAGTTTGTTTTGCTTCGCTATATTCATTGTAATATATTATTTAAAGCAAATCTTAATTGGTGTTATCACCAGTAATCGCCAAATTATGAAATGTTTATAAGGTCACTTAAATAATTCTTTTTTCGTCACATTACAATACAATTATTGTTCGATCTTTGCATACTTTTTTGTTTATAGCATTAAATATAATGTTCTAATTATTACTATGAATAATAAAAACTCAAATTTTGCTGACATGTAAGTAAAGTAACAGCCTATAAATGTCCCACTGCTGGGTGAAAGCCTCCTCTGCATAGATGGTATTAGGGCATAGTCCTCCACGACCCCACTGCGCATTGGTGGACTTCACATATCTTAATTTTTTTTTTTTTATCTCGAAAAATTGTAGGTTTTCTCACAATGTTTTCCTTCGCCGCTGTTCACCTGATTAGTCGGCACTTAAAATGATGACTTTCATTGATGCTAGCACGGGGTATAGAACTCAGGTTTCAGTTCGAGTTTATTTAATCTCGGCTCTAAGTTAACCAATAAAACTTTTATGTTTTGCCTTAAAATCATTTAGAAGAGTTACAACCTGTATGCCATGTGACATTTAAGTACTTGACACATTCATTCGAGTATATAATATAACAATAAAGTAGACACGTTTTATAATGCATGATCCAGCTGTTACTTGTATTACGTACTTAGAGAAAATGGAAGAAGTTTTGATCAAACACGAAGAATCAATTTTTCAGTAAATGAAAAATCTGAAGTGAATTGCTGACCGCAAAATAGTAGCAAAGTTGATACGCCAGTTGGTCTCGCACTTGACCAATATCAATTTATTTCTACGCTGGCAATATTGCGCGGCTCGCTTCCCGCCAAATTGAATAGTTCTTTTCATACGTTTCAAATGTGTATATTGAATATTTCATGTCAGTGCAATTTTTTTTTGTCTCCTGTAAAATTTTTATTTTTTGTTTACTCGTATTTATAATATAACTTTAATTTTTTGTACAAAATTAAAACATAATGTTGCCTATAACAATACAAAAAAAAACGAAACATTGAAAATACCATGACTAGTCATCTGAACACTTACGCCCAGTTTCTAAAACATTGATCATCGTAGAAATTAACTAATCAGCTATCAAATGGCTTTCCAAATTTGAGTTGCCAAAAGGATGGTTTTTCTATTGCTCTTTGAATTCATCATTCTGATCATAATTTGAAAAGCCAACTCTGTTAAGGTTCAACTTTGCTATTTTTGTTCTTTGTTTATCCAATCCATACCTAATAATCTTATTGTATTCAGTTAGTAAAGAATTTCGACATTTTTATTTATTTATAGTTAACATCGTTGCTGGCTCAGTTTTGTCGTGCGTTTCTATGTACGCACAAACAGTGTTACCAACTGTTGAAAAAAAAAAACTCCTAAAGAAATTCAAAAACCTCCTAAAATCCACTGTTTTTGAAAAAAACTTCCTAAATGAAAAAAGTGACCTTTTTTTAAAATTGTCTAACAAGGTAGAATAATTATCGGAAAAAATTAACTATTTGGGTAATAAAAACTTTTATTTATAAAATTAATTTGAGTTCCGTGGCGGAGTTGCCAAGGTATTGGCTTCGGCGTCGGGGGTCGTGGGTTCGACTCCCACACGGGACAACTATTTGTGTGACCCACAGATAGTTGTTTCGCATCTGGGTGTTTGTCCGCGTGAAATTTATGTTTGTAAAACGTTACACCCCTACAATTCAGGATAATGTTATCCTAAAAAGTAAGGGTAATGTTTTTTAAAAAAAAACGAAAATAATGATATACTTCATCATTCAAGGTTAACAATGTTCACATTGTTCATCGACTTGAAAAACATTTATACAAATTAAATACATTTTATTGTGAAGTTATAATTATTTTTATTATTTTTAAGAATCAGACAAAAAACAAAGGGAATAAGTATCATTCAATTATATAAGATCTGAATTAAACATGCCTTTAAATTTTTGAACATATCCAATAGCAATTTTCTCACCGTTTGGCATTTTATATTACTTATTAAATGAACATATTATTATGAGTAGACATATATTCACAATAAGAGTTTATGGCAGAACAATTTAAAATATTACATAAGCCAATGCAGCTAATACGAGTCATTGTTATATACAATATGCAATGCTGCCAATATTATATATTTTGTGTTTAAAATTGTGTAGTTTTTTTATTTTCATACATGTGAATAAAATTTTATTCCTAAAAATATTCCCAAAAAATTTCTCCTCCTAAAAAACTTTCATTGTAATTTTTTTCTTCCTAAATTTAGGAAGAAAACTCCCAAGTTGGCATCCGTGCGCATAAATGGAGGGTCGAAGTTCAATGACCTCATGCGAATCCATTTGATAGATAGTGATAGGATCGGAGGGGAAGATATCCACATCTAGCTTATAGTAATTAATCATTGTTACTAATCCTTTGCGTTTATGTATAGTCATGAGTAGTAGAAATTTTAAATTAATTACGTTTTCCATTTAGGAAATATCGCACAAATGAATGCGAGAATATGATTCCAAAATGATAACTATCATTCAATAATTTAAGGTCATTTCTTCCGTCCCCCGTTTCAAAAGATGCCTCAATATAGTCTCTTGGTTATTTATTTATTTATTTATTGCACATCCATCAAGTAACAAAAAGGTGTTAAGACAATTAGTAAAACAGTTCTTTATGGACCCTGTTTATAAGGCATAGTAAAAAAGAAATTCGGAGAGAGCAAGATGTATCACATAGGTAATTTAATTAGGTACTTGTATAAGTAGTTAATTTATTCCGATCGAAATTATTTTTATTCTTACAAAATATTCGGCTCATTTTCAAGTAACATGTTTATTTTAAGTTAAATAAGATTATTTTAACAAAAATAAAGATTAAAACATTTTGTAGGCCCGTCTTTGACAAACAATCTCTAATCACAGGCGAGAGGATCCTCTGTTTATTACTGAGGCGGGGGCGAACATTGTTTTTTCACATAACTTATCCCTCTTAATTAAGTATTTTCCTTTATGTATTGAGCCAATAGATTACGGCAGTGATAAGAGCAACATGTAAGCCTGTTATAAGGTTTATGATTTATGCGGGAGTGAGATGACGGTCCGCTCGTTACAAGGCTAATTGAGTATAAAAAGGCAGCCGGCAGCAGGTGAATTTTAAGTCTCGCCCGAACATTAGAAGATGATATAACGGCCAAGCAAGAAGTCTTGATCCTCACTGCTCCTTTGACTCCAAGAATACTGAGTAATCTTGCATTCGTGTTTCTTATTAAAACGTCGTAGCATATTCGGCGTGGCTTCATTATCGTAAGCAGACAAAACATCGTTAGATTACGGGGAACAGCAAAAGAAGCCACTAAATGTGGTGTGATTGCGCCACGAGAAAGAAAGAAGACAGAACTTAAGAAGCTAGCGTAATTCCTTAGCTCAGAGCTGGATAAGTGCCGTGCATATACCTTATCGGAAGTTATACCTGAGGAAAACGAAAAGAAACAGCGAAAAGAGCAAAAAATTGAGTGCAGCTCAATGCAAACAATTAAATATAAATCAATATAAAAAAAAAAACGCTGCGTTGATTCCAAAGACAGATGACAGGTAGCGAAGAAGAACACTTGTCGTCGACTGTTGTTTACAACTCCACCATGCGGTAAAAACGTTGCCTAATGAAGGAGCACAAGCTGCTACCTAATGAGTAGAAGATTAATGACAGCAAAGAGCCCGTAATGAAATCTGAGACTTCATCACAGGAGGAGATCACAGCATCTCGACCGTAGGACCACCATTCAGCCTGTTTAAAACTAGCTTTGTCACAATAAGAGGACTGCTAAGCGGCGTCGAAGCCTTGGACGAGAAAAGCACGATCACCTAAGTCGACACATCGATAGCCGACGTCACCGGAGCGGATGATCCTGCCAAAACAATATGGATTCAGGGGGTTGGAGTAAGTATCTCAAAATTACGAGATGGCATATTAAAGATTTCTAATAAAAAGTATTTTTAGGGTTGCGTACCCACTCTAGATCTTTCTCGGTTTTTAGGTCTGTCACCAGGCTGTATCTCATGAACCGTGAGGATTATACATTGTACCCAGTGTCGTGAAAAATAGTCACATTTGTATATGTAAAAATAAAAATATAGGTCTGTACCCGTATATCGTTTTACAAAATGCAACGTGCATTCGGTCTCGTATTTTCTAAAAATAGGTACACAAATAACGATGTGACCACGCGCTCGGAATCCAGTAACGAGTTGTTGTGAAATTGTTACGGCGGCCATGCTGAGGGAAATTGCATTTTCTGCAATATTCTTGGAGGACCCCCGTCCGTGTCAAGAGCACTGTTGCGACGTTCTTTTTATTCATAACAAGATGGACAACTCCGCATGGGTAGACTAATATGAATTAACCTCGATGTGAAAACTCAACAGTTAAATAACGAAGTCGATTTGGCCAAAACTGAACAGTACTTCACCATTATCCCACCTGATGAAATGTGGCGATTTGGCGTATACGATGAAGACGCTAGTTCATTAAAAGCTTATTGTTACTTAGCTTTTCCTTGGAGATTTCCGTGTCATATTCGGACTTGAAGTTAGACATCGGTCTTTTGTTCCATTCTTTTTTCATCCACGGTAATGGAAAGATGGAGCAAATAGATTTAAATCCAAGCTTAAAAAAAAATAAACTTTGTAAATGCACAACTACAACATTCTGATTATACAGGCGACACGATGTGACCTAAGTGACTTAATAGCGTAAGAATCGTAAAATATTCCAGCTTCTCCGTACAACTTTGTAAAGACCCTTTGTTTTACCCTGTGGGTAAGTGAAAAATGTCCTTTGATGTTTTTCCAGTGTTCCGATGTTTAAATATCTACAATACAATACGTACGATATGTATGCATTATGAGTTACCCATAGTATAAGATTTGCTAAGTTTGATAAATATAGATAAATTTGTGTAAAAATATGTCCAAACACTTTTATTAGACGCTCAAATAATTAAGGATAAGGCAGAGTTCGGTGGGTTTAGTTATGTGCGGGGCCCCCACATAACTAAAGGGTTTTTAGGGTTCTGTACACAAAGAGTAAAACGGGCACCTATTACTAAGACTTCGCTGTCTGTCTGTATCTCTGTCCGTCTGTCACCAGGCTGCATCTAATGAACAGTGATAGTTAAACAGCTGAAATTTTCACAGTTACTATATACTATAACAACAAATACTAAAAACACTATAAAAAATATTTAAGTGGGGTTCCCATACAACAGACATGATTTTTTGCCGTTTTTATAGATAATATAGATACAGTACGGAACGCTTCATGCGCGAGTCCAACTCGCACTTGGCCGGTTTTTTTTCACTATCTTTACGAAATGCTGTAGATGAATTAAGAACACACAGAAGACCACAAACCTGAATTTCGTAACTATTTATGCGTGCTTTAATGTAAAACATTTTTATGGGCCCCGGCTACTTCACGCACCAGACGAAACGCAGCAGTATGACTTCGACTTTACAGCGGTCTTCTATTAGATCGTGGTACTTACCTAGACGGACTATTGCGTGGCCCTAATGCCCGGCCTATATTCAAGGAACGGCCGTAAGTTACATAGCTTTGTAACTTTCATAACGACATGTAAATAAAAGGCGTGTACACCCGGTTCCTATATTAACCAAACGAGGCGTTTTCCTTACGTGCCGTTGCATTACCTACGGAAAGTGAGTTACTAGCGTTCCTTTAATCAACAAGTCTTTGAAGAACCGGGCGTAAGATGGTTGAATTATTATTATTTTTATTTTTATTTTATTAAGTATGGAAAACTTACAGCTAACATACAATCATTAACATATAAATAAATAGAAAAGAGATAGTCATTTACAAGTTCTCGCAAATAGATCAAGGAGTAATAACATGAGGTAGGTAGAGATTAATTAAACATTACAACAGATAGAGAACAATTAAAAAAAAAAAAGAAGTATAACAATAATAAATATTACACTAAATTATACACAAAAAAAGCAAAATAAACACCATAAAACTTAAGTGGAGAAATATTTGTTGGCTAATAGTTTCTTGAGCTGAGAATCGCTGGTAAAGTATAAATCAATGTCTACATTACGTAGTATGTTATTAAAAGATTTGCACGACCGTATCATGAAAGAATTAGTTGTTGTTAGTCCAGTCATATCAATTATCAATCTATTGACATACATTTTCTATCTTTCTTTCTGTTCAATTTTTCTTTTATTTCATTTACATTATAACAATTTTATTTGTTGTTTGTGGTCAGACGACCCAAGGAACGTTACTAGCAATAAAACACAAAGGGTAAAGAAGTTAGTCGGGTTCTTGTGGCTTTAGTCTATAATATCTCACCACTGAATGTGTGCCAATAAGTGTGATTATGTACGTTATTCCGTATGGATTTAAATAAGTGAAAAATTACGCTAAGAAAAATTCTTTATTCCATTAACTTTGGAGAGTCTATTCAATGTTATGGTTATTTTTGATTGTCGACGAATAGACGACTTGGTACCGTTCATTTCCCGTTTTGATCCTCGCATCGCCGACGAAGACTTGTGCCGGTGAAGAGTCGATCCGAGGACCTGAAAACCATTCTCGCTTTAAACCAAAAAAAGATTAAGACCGAATGTCAGTCGTTTTCATTTTTTATACCTCACGAACCGAGACGGATAATACCAGAGTCCTATTGTGCGTTATACTAAACTATTAAGTGAATAAACTTATCGCGTCACACACACACACAGACAGCTTGTACGAAAATATGTAAATAATAAGTGGAGGGGTTACAAAGCAAAGTGTATAACAGTTAAATGTTGATCGTGGTTTCGAGGTATTTAAAAAAATATACAAACAAGAAAAATCATTATATTTCAAGGTCTCAACGCGACCATATGAAGCATCTTTAAATAAGGCGACATAAAGAAAATATCAAAACTACATTTATCCGAATACAATAAATTATCTTTAAATTCATCCGAATTGTAACACTGATAAAAAATATTTTACATTTTGAATCTGTCAATTTTGAGTAATGTACATAACAGCATTACGTATCTACTCGAAACAGAAAGCATGTAAGTACATACATCTGCATAATTGACAGTCGACACATCTGAATATTAGAAATACTGAACGTAGGCATTAGGTTAACCATGCATTTTAAGCGTGGAGGAGACAATTAAAAAATTTTGTAAAAGATGCAATCCTTTTTTAATTGTCTAGTATATAATGATTACGGTTCTGAACTTTTTAGTCGATACACATAAAGTTTACTATAATATATTTGAAATAGTAAAATGACGCAATAAATATTCGGTACCTATATGATTAGCGTTCTGAAATCGTTGATTATATCAGAAAATATGAAACGTTTAACAACTAGTATTACTAAAAGGGACTGTGAGATTCAGGCTTGTGTTAAATATAGCCTGAAGGCCAGACCACCTGCAGCTATCCTTACTAATATTATAAAGGCGAAAGTTTGTATGTATGGATGAATGTTTGTTACTCTTTCACGAAAATACTAACTGGAATGGATTTTAATGAAACTTTACAATAATATAGAATATAATCAGAATAAGACACGTAATTTATATACATAGTTTTATGTATATCTGTCTTTTTGTCTGAATGTTACGCCTTCAGCCTATTCTACGAAGAACTATTAGACGAAGTCGCGGGCAGCAGCTAGTTTATTCTAATTATATAGGAGGGGGGCTGACTTGCCGCACATTCGCTGCAAAAATCGACTACGTCAGTCACCTGAGAGCGCATCAGCGACGCTCTCAACGTTAGAAAACAGTCGCTGTAGACTAGGATTCAAAAACATTAAACCATAGATACAAAGTACTCAAAACATATAAGAGTCGAACATCTTTTTGTGGTTACTTGTGTTTACGAGAATACGTAAAATATCTCAGACTATCCCGTGACGACTGACCCTGTGAAGTGTTCCAAATGGCCGAAATTAAAACCAGTAGTAAACGTAAAATTCCGTGAACTAGTTGTATTTATCAAGTATTCCACCCATAGATACGACCCACAGTCGTAAAAAACTTTTGGTGATGGAATCGACCCCAGGAAACTATTCTAGTGGCAGATGCAAATGCAGAGGTGATTACTGAAATAACGTTCGTCCATGCATTCATTCATGAATGACAGCTATAATCAGAGACGTGGAAAAATATACTACATGAATTTTATTAACTTAATTTTCCTAATCATCGCAACTAGATAAAATAGTTGTGAAATACTAATTCTTGTCTATGAATTTAGTGAAATTATTAATAAAAATTAATACGGTATCCGATTTTGAGCGAAATATTGTCACCCTAGCCATTGTTGTTAGAATGTATCAGCGACGGGTTCAGTTATGCCCGCTTGCGGGTCATAGCTCTGGGTTGGGCACTTCGTGACATTTAAATCGAAATGTCCAAATCTTGTTAACTACGTAAACCACAAGACGACACGTAGAATGTCTAATGTTAGAGAACAGCGTAAAGGAACAAATAACATAGAGGTATTGCCATAATTTTAATTTTTTTTAATGTTTTTTGCCTTTATTTTATCGTCGTGTCGTTATTTTACGATGTGGAGGCCGAAATTGATAAGTTTCTTTAACGAAGTTATATTAGTTAAACGCCTCTTAATTACAGGATTGTGTTATCATGCAGAGTGGGTAGAGATTTTTATCTATAAACAAAAAAAGGTTAAAATATTACAATCCCGCGTTTACTATACTGGTTTTAATTATAAGCGATTTTTGCATTTTTTTTATATGAAAAGTTGTCAAACGGGCAGACGGTTCACCTGATGTTAAGTGAATACCACCGCCCATGGACATCTGCCACACCCGAGGGTTACAGATGCGTTGACAACCTTTTGAAAATTGGGCTCCGGCTACCTCACTCACCAGACGAAACGCGAACGTATTTGTCATACTTCCACTTTACGCTGGTCTTCTGTGAGGTCGTGGTACTTACCCGGACGGGCCTGCCCATTCGTGCAACAGCCGAGGCTGCTGCGTGGCCCTATCACCGTTGATGCATGCATGTCAGATTTTGAAGAATGTGTCGCCAGCTCATTCATTCCTTCAATTTCGTCAATTGTCCATATTGCTCGAAGGATATTTTTTATTTATTATAACAATGAGTCCGACAGCATCACAGGAAACAAGTATTATTATCATTGTAAAGTCATAGTCAAGTACAATCAGTCAGAGAGACTCGTAGAAGTATCAAACTAAACTCAAGAAAAGCTTGTGTCAATCACTACATAGTATAAAACTAAGTCGTCCCGCTGTCTGTCTGTCCTTATGTATGCTTAGATCTTTAAAACTGTTCAACGGATCTTGATGCGGTCTTTTTTACTAGATAGAGTGTTTCAGGAAGAAGGTTTATATGCATAATACATGCATAATATGGTAGAGATACATAGTAGAGTATATTTAGTATCAGCATTGCACCCGTGCGAAGCCGAGGCGGTACACTAGTCTCTTATAAACGCCAAAATCTACCGCCCGATTACAAGTTTAGATCCGCTGATAGAAGAATCAGGAGGACAATCAACGGAGCGTAGCCAAGGGACATGCAAGTGAAGCAAATAACCTCCACACATCTTGGTCCTGACTCCACAGTTATAATTCAACGTCTAATATCTCGTCACGATTTTTTTTTACTTACCTGATGTTAAGTGTTAGTTAAAGTTAAAGTGGGCTCCGGTTACCTCACACACCAATTGAAACGCGGTACAACATTTCCACTTCACGCTACTCGTGGTATTTCTCCGGGCGGACCTGCCCATTCGTGCAACAGCGAAGACTGTTGCGTGGCCCTACTGCAGTTTAAATTGTGGGACAACATGTTCTGGATGGATTAAACCAAAAACACTACATTGAATCTTTAATAGGGCCTTTCATTTCAAATCCCTACTCTTGATTACTTACTTTAAGTTATCTCTCCTCAAAAGGTTTTGGCTTTCATTGTTTATTAATGATATTATATACAATATACGAGGTAGATATGAATCTAGCGCATCGAAACTGAGGTACTCAATTACCCCAATTGGTGTTATTAGATTGCATTTCTATAGACATCTGTATCTTTCCGTATCATACGTTCTATATCATAATTTTCACTGGATTGTATTCCCAACTGATATTACGCTTTCCCCCTTTATGCTGACTTTTTAGGGTTTTGTTTGTCTGTCTGTCCGTCTGTCACCAGGCGTCTGTATCTCATGAACCGTGATAGTAAGACAGTTGAAATTTTCACAGATGATGTATTTCTGTTGCCGCTATAACAACAGATACGTACCTACTAAAAAACAGAATAAAGAATTATTTAAGTGAGGCTCCCATAACAGACATGATTTTTTTGCCGTTTTTGTACACAATGGTATGAAACCCTTTGAACGCGAGTCTGACTCGCACTTGGCCGGTTTTAAATTCTTTTTCTTTTAATTGAAAAATTTAGTGCCACCGTGATGTCTTCGTTACGTGGAACATCTTCGACCGCTATTTTATTTACTTACTCAAATTACTCAAATTGAAAACCGTTCCGGGATCTTGCGATGGCTTTTCGAAGATCGGAATCAGGAAAATCCCGGGCGGCATGGCCTGCAGCGAAGCCGACTGGTACTCCACGGGTTTGCCCGCGACCGATGTCAATGTAAGAATCCACACGAAACTGTAAAAACAAAGCTGTCTCTATAAACCCAAACGGGTTTGCCAACTCAATGCTGTCACCGTGTGAGTAAGCGTCGGAAAAAACATTTTTCTGCTTTCAGATTCATCTGGGTCAAATAAAAAAATACCAATTTCTTCCTCAGCGGTAAAAAGAGATGGCAAATGCACTGGCCTTATCGCTTTTACAACGCTTTTACTTGAAAAAATAACAATACACGATCATTCGTATAATACTAGAATGATAAAATTGCTGTCTATTGACAATACACGGTTATTCGTATAGTCAATAGACAGCAATTTTATCATTCATTACATACAGAACCTGGAGCACCGGAAACGGCTCCAGCGATTTTCATGAAATTTAATATGTGCGTAAATTCGGGGGCGAAAAATCGTTTCATTTTTAGAAAATGTCCTTTTATCCCTGTTTTCAGGGAATGAAAAAATATCATTCGAATGTGACGGTAAATTTCGCCGAAAAAGATGTTATAATAATAGCTCGGTCGGCAATCGGGCGGTCCCGAAACAGAAGGCTGCGGTTCGTGTCACGAATATTTACATTATTCTTTTTAATTATCTTTTATATTTTTCTTCTATACCAGATCATTGCTTCCTTTGTTTTTATTTTTTTTAATTTCCAAAATAAGCAATCAAAAAACCGAGCGTAGCTCGGTCCCCAGATGCGAAACAACTATCTGCGGGTCACACAAATAGTTGTCCCGTGTGGGAATCGAACCCACGACCCCAGACGCCGAAGCCTTGGCAACTGCGCCACGGAGTCATCGCTATTGAAATTTATAATTAATTTTTTTATAAGTTTCAATAGCAACAGCTCAATAATAAGAGGCAGTCTCATGATGAAACTAACCTTTTGTATAAGGATTAAAGTTGTGAAATATTTTTCGACAAACAAGTCACAATAAACAAGATAGGTAAGCCAACTCACAGAAACTGTATAGAAAAAAAAAGGCGACCGTAAAAAATATTTCCCCTCCACGCTGGTCTTCTGTGAGGCCCCGGTACTTCCCGGGACGAGCGTGCTCATTCGTGCAACATTAGAAACTGCTGAAGGCGCTACCACAGTAAGAAAGCCTCTATAATATAACAAATGCTATTAAGCCTTGTGGACAAGATGCGAAATTGAAAGAGGCCAACTTCAAAAAATTTGACTATGTCTATTATTCGCGTAGATACAAGGAACCATTAATTAAATGCGTTTTGATTTGTCGTGGGTTCGATTTCCACCTGGGACAAGTGGTCGTCTGAGTGGGATAAGAGCAGGAGAAAGAAGATTTGAAAACGGTTATTATTCTCCAGGTTTGTTACTGGAGCTTAAAATTTTCATAACAAACAACTTAAACAACTCTTGAAGATTGAAGATGCTCACTGGACTAGATAACTCGTTGTCAGCGCAAAATATTTTTCTTGTTTAAGATGCCTATTTACGAATTTGTGTTTTAAAGATTGAATAATTTTCGTATTTATTTAAGTCTCCTGGCCGAAATTTCGTTGACACGATATTTGTATGAAATTTACTGTTTATTTGGTTGGCGGTGTCCGGATGATCAAAATTTCAGTATTCTGCCTAAGCCAACGTAATAGTTAAGCTCGATAGTTGAGATAAACATATGCGGAAACTCGAATATTTATAAAACAATAAATATAAATTTCGAAGGTAAGTAAAACCAACTGCTCAATTGGCAGTGGGGTTTTATTTTACGACGCAGTTATTTATGACTTAATACAAAGAAATAATACTTACTTAGAATACTTACGATTAGGCTTTTATGTTTTGAACAAATGTTGGCTTGTTAACAGTTATTTTAAAATAGCTATTGACATAACAATTATTACGCAATATTTAGTATTTTAAAATTATAAAAACTCGCAAGCTCACCACGTGACGAAAGAAACCATGTCGACCGCTTCGAGAAGTTGACGAGAACAACCACCGCTTCCCGAGCGGGAATTTCGCGGTTGGCAACTCGATTCGCAGTCATTCAAGTGCGGGTCACGTTTCTCCACGTCCTGGTACATCTCTAGAGCTTTATAACCTTAGACATTTAAAAACAATTAACATATTTAGAGCAAAGTCGGTGATGGCTGGATTGTTCCCATTCGTGCAACAGCCGAGGCTGCTGCGTGGCCCTACCACCGTAAAAAAAATTGTGTCCGGCTTACATAATATCCGGCAAATTATATCTCAGTCTTGCAGCTGTTATATATCGACATGTGTTACGGCTATGTGCAAATAGTAATAATGAGTACGTTAGTAATTAAATAAATAAAAAAAGCTTAATACAAACTTTTTATATAACCAAGATACTATGTTTTTATAAGTTATCAAATAAGGACAGATATCGCAAATATGGTCGTTTTATTATCAAAGATCTTATTAGTTTTTACATTAATTTGCTGTAGAATACAATTCATATATGCATATAGAGCGGAGGAAAAAGTAGTAAATAAATAGAGAAATGAATTCTCATGGGTTAAATTGTAAATAAATATGCTACTTTAATAAAAACATATAGGAACCTATAATGAATGTTGTTTTTAATGGCGGAAGGCTACTATATTTATACATTATACATAAAAGGTAAAAAAGCTGCAACATAACAATGGCATCATTGAATAAATGTACTTTATTATATTTATTTATTAATGTAATCAAATATTCAAAACACAAACTTTATTGTACACAAAGAATTACCGAGAGATAAAATTATTTAAAAATTTCTTAAAGTAACAATGCTACAACCCCATGAGTTGTAACGAAAAAAATTAACAAAGATATTAAACATTAATTATTGTACCAGTTTACGTTTCAGTAATTTGGAGGATTAAAAACATTCGGTATCAGCAGCTCTTAGGATGCCGTCCGTATGAGTAACACTAACACTAGTATCGATTCGCTGAAATACCGTCTTGGCACATCGTAAACTTATTCCGTTTCGTACCTCGAACGAGGTCATAAATGTCTTCTGTTGTTATGATTGACATGGATAAGTGGTTAAAAATAAGTCATAAGTATCGGTTATCAGCTTATGTTTATGTTAGCTGCCATTGGTCACAGGAACAGACAAAATGGAAGATCATTTCAATAAGAAAAGACCCCGATTATTGATAAAATAAAGACAATGTAAAATGACTGTATGATGTTAGTGAATGATGTAAAGAATGAATGAATTTAGGTTCAGTTTTGCACCACTGTGTTAGCTTGTTTTAGAAATTATTTTTAAACTGATTAACCAATGGCTGGTTAAAATAGGTTGCTAAAATTGGGGTTTATTTTATTGATACTACTTACTACTTTAATGACAATGTGTTAATCATACTTCCACGGTCGATGACGTCAAACTGTGTTTTTACGTTGTATAAATGATATTCCTGAATGTGTAATGCATTACGATAATGCGTAATGCGTAATGCATTTTTACCAGGGGACGTATGTACATTCCCGTTGTACCGCGAAGTTATTTGCCCCGTCTTTAAAAATATTATTTGTAGTAAATAACTGCATAAACACATTAAAAAATATCGCACTATTTTACTGAAAGTTCAATTTACACTTACACTCTTTAGTAAAATTTTCAGAGTAGTCTGATGTACATTATGGAATGTTTGTTTCAGGCTTGGTGAAACTAGGGGTGCATTGCGTGACCGGCAAAAAGGTCGCAATCAAGATCATCAACAGGGAAAAGCTTAGCGAATCTGTGCTCATGAAAGTAAGTCAATCTGCACAGATAAATAAAAAAAATAACAATTTATGACTAATCTGCACAGATTCTGACAATAACTAGTTGGTATATACAGCGTGTCGTTGCAACCGCGACAATAAATAAACACACGTCTAACGCTACTTGCCAATAATCATAAAAAATATAAAACGTTAAAAATCCGTAATTAAAAAAATGTATTTTTCAAACAAACTAATTAAATAAAAAAAGAAACAAAATTTGTAACATCCTATACAACTACAGTCTACTGAGTGATCCATACATTCAGAGACTTTTTCATTCGTTGCCAAAACGTCGCATTGCAAGTCGCTCCTTCTAACAGTATGTTTTATCTCTTTTAAATTCATTCAACCCATTCATATGCTTTGTGACCTTTACAAATTAACTTTACGTTACAGTTTTATACGTAAGGGTGTTCTAAAAATGTATGTTTTGTAAAATTTAATAACTCGGTAAATATTGATGTTTAAAGAATGTAAATGCTTAATTCAATTTTAAAAAGTAATCCTCTATATATGTGTTCAATTATTGTCGAGGTTGTAACGACACGCTGTATACATTTGGGCAAGGCCGAATTATTCACCACAGCACCACAAATTGTCATTTTAATGTTTTTAACAGAATGTACTTAGTACCAAAAGAAAGAATTCGAGAACTGTGAATTTGTAACTATCGTAAACTTAACTACGTACGAACCCCAGAGGAGAAGAGCTACTTTGTCGTGTTTTTGCTTTGTATTATTTTAAAGGCTCAAATTCTTTTGAATTGTTTGGATGGACAGTTTCGTCCTTGGCTTAGGCAGCACCTAACAGAAGAGCGAGATAAAGTAGAAGCATTTGAATTATTGCCCTCCGTCAGGCGAGTGAGGTAACCGTGACCCACTTTTGCATACATCGGTGAACCGCCCACTTGTACGAAGCCTTCCTTATAAAAATCTAAACAGTCTTACTTTAAGAATAGGTTCGAAACGTCGGGAATTAGAAATCAAAATTAAAACTCGCTAAAATCCGTTTAGTATAGTTTCATTTCATTTCATATAAGATTTATTACATAACGGATTTTCTTCGCCATCTACCGATCCTTCGCTAGGTCATATCCCGCAGCGCTTCCTCATTACATGGGGATCCGTGTTTAATCTACAAAGTGGCTTGGTGCAAACTGTAATTGCATTTACTATAACACGCTCGAGTGTAGAGGCTTTCAAGTTCTTTTTATATAATGAATACAACGTTAAAGCATTACGTTACTATTTCAATGAGTTGTTCTACAACTGACTTCAAAAAAGGACGAGGTTCTCAACTCGCTTGTATTTTTAGGGTTCCCAAAGGTTAAAACAGGACCCTATTACTACGACTTCTTGACTCGATTTTTCTATTGACTACGCTTTCACAGATGATGTATTTCCGTTGCCGCTATAACAACAAATACTAAAAAACAGAATCAAAAGATATTTAACTGGGGCTCGCATACAACAGACATGATTTTTTGCCGTATTTGTAGATAGTGGTACCTTCGGGCGAGAGTCCGACTCGGACTTGGTCGGTTTTTTATGTTTTCTACCTCAGACTTGCGCAGTTTGTGTGAATTTTTTTTTCCGAGTTGGATTAGGTTTAAGTCCCATATTTATTTTATTGGTACTTGACCTTGGAGTCGAGAGATACACGAGGCCACTTCTCAAAATCAAATATAAAATGCAAGATATCTGAAGTCGATTTCGTTTTTTGATAATAAAAATTTTATGCGTTCGTAGTACATAATCTGATTATGGTTATTGGATTCTGAGGTTGTGTTTACGTATAAAAGGTACACAAAAATTCTAGTTATATATACGTAGGTGTAATTTTTAATGGGATGGGCGTGACGGCTTAACACGTAATGAACAACTTCTTATAGTTATCGCTGCCCTTATTAGGGTGTGGTACCTCCTCTTATCGAAACACTCCATTTATGCAGCAGCCGAGGTACCACAGTAGCGGTTCCCTAATGGTTTATACTGATATAATTTTGCTTAATGGGTTTTAGATATAACTGCCGTTTCGATTATCAGCTAAACTGAGCCACATATCCATATATCCCATGAGCTTTAGCCGTACGTTTGGCTTGTATCCAAACTTTTTAGCTACATCGCGCCTAAATGAAAATCGCCGAATATTGGTCAATCGCCAAAAGCACTGACTTGATTACGATGATATAAATGATAATAAAGTTTATTAGAACACTTTAATACAAAATTTATATAGTTTTATATAGTTTATGATATGATAATAATTAGTTATGATAATTTGAGAACGCGTGGTTTGCTTCATTACCGAACGGGAATTGACTGCCTGTCGCAGTATATTTTAATGATAATTATAAAGCATTGCACCCGTGCGAAGCTGGGGCGGGTCGCTAGTTATACAGGGAGAATTTACAAGTACCCAAATTTACACAGGAGGTTCAGACTCGGTAGTATAATCGCTTATTGAAATACAACTAATTACTTACGAGTGATTTTAAATATTTATAATTTTTATATAACATTATTTATGTCTAGGATTTAATTTTAAAAATGGATATATTTAGAAAAGCCACCCTGTATATTGGTGGACTTTAGGTAAAGATTGCAAACGAAGCTGTTTGGTTCAACAGTGAACCGAACACTTGTTTTATAAAGGTATGTAATTATTTACTATCGTACAATTTCCTCATTTTTCGTTGCAATTGCGTTGCGGACCTACAACAGGTCATCCTCTTTCTTCGCTCAGGTTACCTCAACGAAAGGCAAATGATTAAATACTAATAGATTTGACAAATGTTAGCATTAGGATTTACTGTCAAGCATAGTGAAAGAAAATGTATCGCTGTATGCAAAATGTAATTGCAGTGGATACATTTTTGTTTGCAGGTCGAAAGGGAAATAGCAATAATGAAGCTGATAGAACATCCTCACGTGCTGGGCCTCTCTGACGTCTACGAGAACAAGAAATATCTGTAAGTAATAAACTATAATACTTTTCTAACATAAAATATCTATTTTGACAAGTACATTGAATTATTTGTTTTTTAGAAAATACATAAATATATAAAGTCTCACGCCGGGTATTTAGGGGTAGGCAGTGATTCCAGCGTCCACGATCCTTGCTTGTTAATCATCTTGTTTTCTTCTTCCACATCTATGAATCGCCATTTTTAACGCCATATAGATTAGAGCGTGGGAAAGAGAAATTTGTTAAAATTTTCGTTATAGTGACTTGTTCATCATTATTTTTTCAGTTCCTCAAAGTATTTGAGTATATAAATATATATACTCAATTTGAGTATATAAATATATGACAATACTAAAAATTCTTAACGTAAAACATAGATGCTAACTTAAGAGTTAACCTTTTAAATGATGAGAGACCTTTTTTATTCACTACACTCACAAATCGACCGAAGGTTGCTAGTAACCTACATTGCTACCTTGCTTCGAAAATTATTTTTATGAAAAATATATCATAAAAATTTATAATAACACATTTTTTAAACATCAAACTTACTTATTTTTAGCTTGCTTATTTTTGGCTAACTTATCTATTTTTTAAAGAATCGTTTGCCGCACTAATAAACAATTCCTTTGATGCGGGAATTTCACGCCAATGATATCAGGGATATTAAGGAGAAATTGTTTGTGCACAAAAAATTTTTTTCCCGTATTAGATTAAATTATTTTTTATTTTTAAAATATAAATTATTTTTTTCCCGTAATTAGATAAAATTAAAAAATTATTTTATTAAATAACAATATATTATTTTTTATCTCTTGCAAAGAAATGGTTTAAGTGAAGAATGATGGAAACATAACCTACTTCCTTGACAAGTTAGTGTTGCCAGTTATATGCAGTGGAATCGGCGCACTGCGGGCGATACGACACAAGTCAGTTACTGCCATCGGAGTCGGAGGCGCATTAAACGATTTACGGTCGTTAGTAATGTACAATAAACGATTTACTTCACTCTGTTGATTTATATTTTCAGTTAAATAATTGACGTTAAATTAGAGCTTAAAGCCCATGTTGAATAAAAAAATTTTCAATTTGAAAAAAAAAAAATACTCTCCTCCAATATATCTCTAAAATATATTTATCTTACTGTACCAGTCATTAAAACATTTAAACGAAAAACTAGCACCTGAATTCATCTACGCGCTCGTTTGAAGTCTGGATTTATCGTCCGCGGAGCAATTTTTAAATCAACAAATAACGGAAATAAAATACACATATATCGCTGGACGTAATCTATAATAAGGGTGCCGTAGGATTAGACACCAGTAGTGGCTAAAAATTGTATTAAGTATGATAGAATGAGAGCGTTATCTACATGACGTAGAAACCGCCGAAATTTTTTTTAAATTATTTTTTCTTTTCTCTTTCTCCATTCTACTCCTTATACGTTCGGTAGACAAGCTTAGCAACACCACTATCTGGTAAGTTATTGCTACTTTGCTGTACGACGAAAAGACAACTCAAGTCAATGTTATTACTTCATAGATGACAGTCGCTAAAAGGAAAAGATAAAAATCTGACAGCGAGGAATTACCGATGAAATCAAATGCAAATTGTCCGACAAAATACCGTATGGATTTAAGCTCTGACAGTCTACGAATGTGTAGGTTTGATATGAATCAAATCCGCGTTGACCCAATTTAATGCCAAAAATCTTACGTACTCACTACGGTAATGCTACGGCGCTACGAAAGTGCTACGTTATACTACTTTAGTAGAGTTGCTAGAAATTAAAACATGAGCTCTTAAAATACCCCTAATATTTTTGTTTTAGTACTAAATGAGATGATTTGGCTCCAGCTTTAACAATACGTCTTTTTTATCATTTATTCAATTACTGTTTGACATGAGAAGTAGCTACAGATAACATTACATGATAATATCCAATATTTTTAACAGTAGCAGTGCTTGACTGCTGTTCCACTAATCTTAACACATAACTAGAAATTTAGCCAAAGATGGTAAACTATTGGTTAAATCAAAGTTTGATTGAAGGCTCATTAACTTTCATTTCCTAATTACCAATCTAGCAACATATTCGAATTTACGAGTTAATCTGACGTCTTACATAATACCGTATACACATTTTTGTACGTGTATTTTAAAAAAAGCTATCATATTATTTTGTTTTGGGCACTAGCGAAAAATATCAGTTTAATTGAAAATAATCGATTTCATTTAAATATAACACGCCCGGTCGTAAAACATAAATAAAAATTTGAAACAAAATATTATGTCGGCTTTATACGATATACCTCTCAACTTCTTTTAATAATTTGACAATTAATCATTTATTTTTTGCCGTATCTGTTTTCTCAATCTCATTCCCATGCATCATTTTAAATATTGATGAATTTAAATTGGCTGTCAATAGATGTCGCCTTCTACATTATTTAATATTTATACTTCAATGTTTTGTAAACGAAACTATAAATTTTAAACTATTTGGTTACCACTCATCATTAGATAGTTTAATTACTTAACTTATTCAATAGATTTATATGCCCATCCCTAATTTCGATATACGGCGACGAAAGAGCATCCTTGATAAATGAATGAAAAGTATATTGTATATCTATGACGATCCTTATATTATTGGTGGGTTATATTTTTGATCCAAAACTAGCTATTAACTGTTAAATGTTTAAACTAGCTATTAACTCGTTTCGTTTATTTCAAGTTAAGATAAGGGGAAGGTAGTGTTAATTGGAGACTCTATGCGCGGCCGCAACACTTCTCTAGTTGTCACCTCATAATGAAATTGAAAATTGTCTCTCAAATTAAAAGACCGTTTGTCCTACACATTACCTAACCTCTAGTACTTCTACGTGAGAATTAAACACAATTAAGGACGCTTTTAAAAGTTTCTGCTGTCTCGAATATGCATTTAGTTCCTTTGTTTGTACAGCGTAACGATCGCTTTTAATTACGCTGCGGGCTACCGCTTCCGGTTTCACTCGGCTTTTTCTCTTTTCCAGGATTGTTTGACCTTGAAGTGTCCTTGAGCTGATCTTGCTCAGAAAACGTCTAAGATTCTGTCTTGACGTACTACAAACAATCTCGACCGCCTTATTCTACGGCAAAATTAGACTGGAGTAAATTAACTTGTCATAACTCTCTTTTCCATGAAATCATTGTCTTCTCTCTTTTCCATAAAATCATTGTCTTGATTATAGCTTTGTATTATCATTAGAAGTTTGTGCTGCATTACAATTATTTCGGATTAGTCGGAAGCACGCAGAACAATTTGTTTCTTGTTCATTGTGTTTTTGTTCATCAGTACAGAAGTGAGTAGTACTTTTTGTATTAGATTGAGTAACATTAATAGGATATGATGGTTTTGACATATGGCGTGGGGAGTAGTGACTCTGCCTCTTGGGCCATAGGGTGTGGGTTCGATCCCAACTACTGGAAAAACATTGTGTTATGAAAATCGTGATTTTTCCAGTATCTGGGTGTTTATATATGTATAATATGTATTTATATACAAAAGAAAAGTATATTTAAGTATGTTTATCAGTTTTCTAGCACCCATAGTACAAGCGTTGCATAGTTTGGGACTAGAGAACGGTGTGTAAAAAAATGTGTCCGAAAATATTTTAGTTGTATGAAAACTAAAAAGTTCACGAAATGTTTTTTTGCTCAACGTGAAAAGGTCCACAGCCGCCATCCGCCCTCTAAAATGTCAAAGACGTAAGCGCCATACATTCCGACATTTTACACCTAAGGGACTATGACGCTCCGATTTATTATCCAGCTTGATACAAATTAGGCGCCATAATTTACATGGCGATATCTCTTCGGAAATGCGAGATATCAAACAGTGATTCAAATAAGCACGTGACACAGAAAAATGTTTACATTATCGTTTCTTCTTGAAGCAAGCACTATGAATCGGAGGCCAAGCTATCGTGGGTTCGATTCCCACACGGGACAAGTACTTGTGTGACGTACATATTATTGCCACGGAGCGGGTTGTTTGTTCTGAAGGAAGGTTGACGTCAAGCTGGCGAGTGGTGATACGAAATCTAGCCAACACCATTATCACGATATCCAAGTCGTGCTACTACAGACCTCATTTAGGAAGTTTAAAATCAGAAGAAAGAAGAAGATTACACACCGTGAGCGAACACTACACACTGTTAGATGAAATTATTTTTACGCATGATATCGTGTTTATCTAAAAAAAAAATAGAATCTCTTCACCACTCGATTCCGATTAAAGAAAATTTGTCTCTCGACTATGAAAGCTGCCTATGAAAGTTCCTATACTGAAACATCAGGGTATAGATAATTTTTGTATTTTAGTAGTGACAATCAAGTAATGCTATCTATTGCGATGTGTTTTATTTTCCTATAAATCATCTTGTAAACATTAATAAATTATTGTACTAACAATATTAATAGCCATATACATAGAGCTATTTATATATTTATTAAAATACCGAGGGTTTTTATAGTGTTTTTCGTATTCAAAATATGTTTGTTATTCTTATAAGAAGTAAATAATTAATCAAGCAACCTCGCAAGTTCTAAGATGTAAAATTTTCCACGATAGAAGCTCATGAATAAAAATTAAGCTTTAATCATTCAGATACAAGGCGAATCCTATTTCGGAACTTCTCAAATTTAAATTGTGTATTTTATTATTGCTCAGCTTACGACCTTCTGTAAGAGAAATAACAAAATTTAAATAAATTTTTGCCGCATCCATTCAATACTTCTGCATAATGTATGCTTTAACGTTTACTTTATTTTTATATTTTGTTTATGTGAGACGATGGCGTGCGATATAGGTGCATTTCACTTGGAGTTAAGTGATAAGTGCCCTGCAAAGCAAAGCGGCCATAGGCGTTCCAGAAGCGTTGTTATTTTGTTTTTTCTTAAAAAGTTGACACCGACTACCTCACTCACCAGACGAACCATAGATGCATAATTCTTTAACTT